CTTGGCATCAGTCTTTAACATTAATTCAGGAGGAAGATGTACTGTTATATTATCCCTGTAATCGCCCTGCATTTCCTGCCTGTGCCTGTGCATGAGAGAACGGCATTGCTCAGACTAACATACGCCCCCTGGTGTTTGCATGCAGTCACTGCATCCAGCAGATCCTGGAGGCGGTGCTTCACTGCCATCAAATGGGCGTGGTGCACCGAGATCTCAAGGTGAGTGACAGGTGATTTGTTCATCTGTGTGTGTTGTGCATGCTTTTATGTACAAATATGCCATGTGTGATGTGCGATGTGCAATTATGATTCGGATGGTGAGATGATTAATGGAATGACTTAAAGGGATAGTCCAACCAAAAATGAAAATTCTGTCATCTACACACCCTCATGTCATTCAAAACCTGTATGGATTTCTTTCTTCTGCTGAACACAAGAAGAGATGTTTTGAAGAATGTTGGTAACCAACTCAGTTTCTGGTATCCATTGACTTCCATAGTAGTTTTTTTTTCTCCATATAATGGAAGTCAATGGGGACCAACATCTGTTTGGTTATCTACATTCTTTAAAACATATTTTCTTAAAAAAACTCATACAGGATGCACAACCTGAGTGTGAGTAAATGATGTCAGAATTTTCATTTTTGTGTGAACTGACTCTTTAATACTCGCGATCCGATTTGGCATGACGTTTTGCGTGCATGGACGTCTATGTCTGGCATAAAACTCTTAAATTGTGCAGTTATTTCAGATTTATTTTTATTGTTGATTTTATGTCAAGTGATATGTTATGTTATTTGTTTGAAGACTTCTCACACAGGTTGATTCTGAACTAGAATGGAATAACTTGCCAATAAATCGTTACAATATGATGAGGAACATCACATAGGGTCAGTTTTGATTTCATGTTGCTGCTTTTTCTAATCCTGCTTCAGTTCAGAGGTCGCTCTTTATATTTTAAAGAATCAGGGTATGCAAATCTCAGTGTGGATGCGTTTTCAGCGTCGTTTCCCCTGGATGCGGCTCAAGGTCATTGAGCATTTCACACCATCCTACGGATTCTCAATCAGAACACTTTTCAAATCATGAGCCCGAAACGTCGAAATGCCATCTGAGCTCCACGAATAGCTCCAGCAGATGGCAACGGCGGCTGAGCGTCAGAACACAGACACCGTTCGTCTCTTTTCAGAGCGGCATCTGTAGCGCGAGTGAGGACGACAAGAAGAAAGAGATCAGAGATTGAGACTGAATAAGCTTCCCATGATTCTTTGCTCCTCTGGACCCAATTTCCCACCTGGATCAGCTTTCACCAGAGCAGAGGGAACATAACCTACTTAACAGCACACACACAAACACACACACTCTCACACTCACGCTGAACGCTGTGTGGAAGTGTGAGTGTGCGTGTTAAGTGGGATAATGTATGATTAACCCATATGTCTAAACGAGTGACAGTAGGTTACGTGAGAAAATAAAATCAAAATTGGATTCCTTGATACCTTTGGTTAATGTAAATATTTATGCAGGTTCAAAAGTTTGGGGTCTATAAGATTTTTTTAATGTTTTTGAAAGACTTTTTATGTTTAGCAAGGCTGCATTTATTTGATAAAAAATTCTGTATTCACAATTTCACATAACTGTTTTCTGTTCGAGTCGGAGTATATTTTGAAATGTAATTTATTCTTGTGATCAAAACTGAATTTTCAGCATCATTACTCCAGTCTTCAGTGTCACATGATCCTTCAGAAATAATGCTGCGTTCAAGTCCTCCTGGGACGTTCGTACTTACGAGTTGACAAGTCGTAATTACGACGTCAGGTGTGTTCAAGTCAGTTTAGTCGGCACAAGATGGCGGTGTACCTTCTTTTAATAAATTACAAGAAAATAAAACAGGGTCTGCATTTTTTACTTGGATTTCAGCTGCGTAACAAGAACATGACCAATTTAAGTTTATAGGACAACTAAACTATCAATTTAAACACAAATTTACCGTCAACTACAGACGTTGCATCCATCGATTCCGCCATCCAACTCGAAAACTCGGGGCTTAAAGAAAATTTCGAGTTTCCCACTCGTAATAACGACTTTGTGGTGGCGTTCATGTGCGTTCAACTCGTAAATACGATCTATCCGACATGACTTGAACGCACCATAATACTAATATGCTTATTTGCTGCTGCATATTTTTGTGGAAACCATGATAAAGTTTTTCAGGATTCTTTGATGAATATAAAGTAAAAAAAAAAAAGCAGCATTTATTTGAAATCTTTTATAACAAAGTTTTTTTCGGTCACTTCTGGTCAATTTAATGCATGCTTGCTGAATAAAAAAGAAAAAAAAATCTTAATGACCCCAGATTTTTCAATGTTTTTGTATGTGCATATTTGTTTTTTGCTTTTTTTTTATCAACATGAAATCAAAATCAGCCCTAGTGTCCGTTGTTAATGTTATCAGTGTTCTGTGTAAATATCTGTGGTGGTAAATTATGTTGTGTGAATGCTGTTTCATGTTGACTTGAAAGACAAAAACGAAGCGAATTTCCCAGAAATCTTTATCAAACATCAGTGGGATAACTGAGAGCGCGTCCTCAATCAAATCCACAGTGTTAAGCTAAAGATAATCCAGTCCGCTCTCAGAGGAAGGTGCTGTAAGGAACACTGGGATAGAATGACAGGAAAGAACAACTTTAAAGATGCTTTTCAGGATGAATAACACTACTCTGCATAACACTACTACATCCTGTATTAATTAACTTTAAGTCAATAGCAAGCTAATGTAACGTTACCTAGAGCTAATTTAACAAATGTTTCACACTCAGGTGTGTAAAATCAGTGGTTCTCAACCTTTTTGGCTCCAAGGCTTCCCATTGTCCAAAAAGTATTCAAAGGCCCCGTTTATAGGTGAAGATATTTCTGGTTATTCTGCTGTAATTACAAAGCTACTTGTTTCGAACTTGTTTTTTACTTTTTTTATTTACACAATCTAGGAGAGTTATTTATTTTTTAAATTGTGAAATTAAAATCTTCCACTTAAAATGACTTTTCCAGTTGTTTGTAATTACAGGATATGTTTAATTTTAATATAATTTTTACTCGTATGATTTCTCAGCAGTTTTTACATGAAAAATTATTTTATGTCTTGACATAACTATATTTAAATATTTATATTCCAAATTTCCATGATTTCTTAAAGGGATAGTTCACCCAAAAATGAAAATTCTGTCATTAATTACTCACCCTCATGTCGTTCCAAACCCGTAAGACCTTCGTTCATCTTCGGAAAACAAATCAAAATATTTTTGATGAAATGTGAGAGCTCTCAGACCCTGCATAGACAGCAATGCAACTGAAATGTTCCCAGGTCCAGAAATGCTATTTAAAACACGTTCATAATTTAGAAAAATGTAGTTAATGCTTGCATCGTTAATGATTTATTTTATCCACCCGCGACCCACCCGCAAATAATCAGAATGCATTTTTTTATTACCCGACCCACCCGATCCGCGGATTATCCGCAGCGCCCGCGGATATAACCGCCATCCGCGCATCACTAATGCGCGCGCTTTCTCCCCCGAATGTAAACAACGCTAATTACGTCGATTACGCTCTTGGGTACTCTCCAAAATGGCGGAAGACGTAACTCGGGAGAGAAGAATTGTTGAATAAATTATGTTATTCTTGTTTCCTTTGTGCTCAAAAATACCCGACCCACCCGATCCGCGGATTATCCGCAGCGCCCGCGGATATAACCGCCATCCGCGCATCACTAATGCGCGCGCTTTCTCCCCCGAATGTAAACAACGCTAATTACGTCGATTACGCTCTTGGGTACTCTCCAAAATGGCGGAAGACGTAACTCGGGAGAGAAGAATTGTTAAATAAATTGTTATTTTTGTTTTCTTTGCGCTCAAAAAGTATTCTCGTAGCTTCGCAAAACTGGGTTTGGAACGACATGAGTGTGAGTAATTAATGACAGAATTTTCATTTTGGGGTGAACTAACCCTTTAAGATTTGATATATTTCCAAGACTTTTCCAGGTCTAGAAATCACTTTTTTAATATCCTCATATTTCCAGGAATTTCAAGACCATGGGAGCCCTGGTTCTTTAAAAATTACATTAAAATGGTAGTCGTTGAAGGAACAAATTAAAATAATAAATATGACATCAGTTTTCATCCTGATTTTATCTGTTTTAGTTCATTTCAAAGATGTTTTTTTTTCTTGTTTTAAATTATTTTAAGCCATTTTGCTGCCCACTTTAAAGCGTGCTGAGGCTCCCTAGTGGGTCCCACCCAGGGTTATCGTTAACTATAACTAAAAGTAAAACTATTAGAACATTTTTGTTGATTGAAATACAACTGAAATATAATAAAATATAAATAATAGATTTAAAAAAACAAACAAAACAAAACATTTTCTAATTTTCATTTAGTTGAAGCACTAAAATTACTAACTGGAAATAGATAACAACCAAAACTGAACTAAAACTAATAGCTGAAATATTAAATTGTAATATTTAAAATATATATATATATAATAATAATAGTAATAAAAATGTCAAAAGCACATAACAAAATTACCAAATTTAACCAAAATTAAAATGATAAATAAATAAATAAAATATTAATAAAAACTATAATAAATAATACTAAAACAAGACTGGTCCCAGCTACCTGGTTGTGAAATGGCGTAGCATCATTTATCATCTGTATTTTGGTTGTTAGGAGACATTTTAAATGGAAAGCAGTAGTACGTCACTGGAAATTTGCCAATTAGACATGATTTTGAGTTGAAATCAAACTGACAATGTGCTTCTAGCAAACTCTACCGGTGACAGAACATGGCGCTGCCCAGCACAGCTTATATTTTGGGAGCTGATTCTGTTTGTATGCTGTATCTCTTGCGCAGCTGTGGTTGTATGTTATGTGTTAAGTGTTAAAAGGTGACATGTATCAGATTTGGGTTCAGCAGTAATATGAGTGCACCCCTGATCTCCCCTTCAGCCAGAGAACCTGCTCTTGGCCAGTAAATGCAAGAACGCCGCCGTCAAGCTGGCCGACTTTGGCCTGGCCATTGAAGTGCAGGGGGACCAGCAGGCCTGGTTTGGTACGTGGTCACTTCAAACTCTCCCAAAGAAAAAAATCCAACTGTTTTGCATTATTTGTTTAACTTCTGGCATCCAAATGGTTTTCTCCGGCATAAAAACACTGATGTGTTGGAAAGAGCCTGGATGTTGCATTTTTAGATGTGTATTTTTGCGTTCACATGCAGGGTTCGCTGGAACGCCAGGTTACCTTTCCCCAGAAGTGCTACGAAAGGAGGCTTATGGGAAACCTGTGGACATTTGGGCATGTGGTGAGTCACACACTCCCTCCCGAGAGAGTTCTTTGCATCTATTTCTATCTTCTTTCTCTCTCGATGGCCTGCACATATTCAGACACATCAGCTCTCAGATGTGAAGAGCTCTTCTCTGGCAGGTGTTGTCAAGAGGCTGTTGCCTAACAGCGCTTTCACCGCTTCAGCCGCCACCGTCGTGTTTCACATCCACTTTCTCTAGAGTATCGCTAGTCGAGCGGTTTAATTACTTTGCAGATCAGTACGTGGGATGGTGTTTTTTTTTGTCTGGGGTTGGCAATTCTGATTCATTTCGACTAAGTGGTTCATTAGGATTGTTTTGTATATCAGTGAACCAGTTCATGGATTCATATGAGTCATTCTCAAAATGCAACTCTCAAAATTGTTCGCCATTTTACGTTTGTTGTGACAAAATAAATGTTTAGTTAATTTAAACTGGGTTACACTTTATTTTAAGGTGTCCTTGTTACAGTGTAATTATACATTTAAAGGGGTCATATGATGCGATTTCGGGTTACTTGCATGTAATTATGCATAATTTATTGTTATTATACTAGTTAGTACATGTAACATGTGTAACAAGGACACCTTAAAGTGTCCTTGTTACACATGTTAAAATAAAGTGTTACCTTAAACTGTTTATCACCAGGCCCCGTGACTTTTAGCAACAATCTTGAACCCACCTGGCAGTTTTAGTCTCCAAACAAATGATAAAGAAAGAGTTATAACAAAGGACTGGTTTAAAGAATGAATCATTCATTTGAATCTGTTCATTATTTCTCAATATAATTAATCAATTTAAATTTTTAATACATTTATAGTATTTTTATACTATAATTTATATCTTTATACTAGTATTTATATCTTTATATTATTTCATGAATTATAAATTGTGGAAATTATATTCAATAAATTATATAAAGAAATCAACTTAGACGTTAAAAGTGTAGCTGTTTTGATAACATTGGTTATTTAAGTTTATATTTTTTATATAATATAATTTTGTGTTTGTGTTTATATTTGTATGTAATATGTATGCATATGTTTCTTTATAGAATTTATATGTGTATTTATTATTACATTTAGGGGTGTTTTAGGCGTGCCTAAATGTCTGCTTTAGTAGCTGAAGAATTGTGAGTACACAAAGAACGGCATGGTATCTGTTAGAAGTGAGACGTCTATAATGTGATTGCAGGAGTCATCCTGTATATTCTGCTGGTGGGATATCCTCCGTTTTGGGATGAAGACCAGCACAAACTCTACCAGCAGATCAAAGCCGGGGCTTATGACGTGAGTCCCCTTGTGATTTCACTCATACAGTACAACTTGAGTCAAAATATAACCGGTTGTGTTCCCATGTTTCCTGTAGTTCCCCTCGCCAGAGTGGGACACAGTCACCCCTGAGGCCAAAAACCTCATCAATCAGATGCTGACCATCAATCCAGCCAAGAGAATCATGGCCCAGGAGGCTCTTAAACACCCGTGGGTCTGCGTGAGTATTACCAGCCACCGACCAGCCCAAAATACCAACATACACCAGATCACATACACTTAAAGGGGTCCTATTATGCTCTTTTACAAAGTCTTGATTTTGTTTTGGGGGTGTACTGGAACAGGCTCTCATACTAGGTTGTTCGAAAAACACATTATTTTTCACATATTTTATATTATTACAACACCTCTCTCCCCAGTCTGGCATGAACGCTCAAATAGTTCCTGTCTCAAATGAAGGCCCGCCTTCTGAAATACGAAATGTGCTGTGATTGGTTAGCTGGGCCAGTGTGTGCTGTGATTGGTTAGCTGGGCCAGTGTGTGTCCTTTTGAAGTGGACTTTGAGCTTTGTAACTTTTGTAACAGATCTTTTTTTTATGCTCAAACAGCAACATTACAGACTAACTAAAGTTGAAAAAGTGAAAAAGCATAATAGCACCCCTTTAAAGTCAAAATGAATGGACGTTGTGACCCATATTACTTCTGAGATAATATGTTTCGTGATAAAACAAAATGTTCACAATATAAAACGTGGCGGGGCTTCATTAGTCCCCCCTTTCTTTTAAATATACCTGTTCACAATAAGTAAAAAAAGTAAATAGGATCAGTTTTAGTTTCATATTGACATATAAGACTATATGTAAAACAACACTTATAATTTTAATCAATAATTTGATTCCTCTCTTTCCTGCAGCAACGTTCCACTGTGGCGTCCATGATGCACAGACAGGAAACAGTCGAGTGCCTGAAGAAGTTCAACGCAAGAAGGAAACTCAAGGTCTGCTGCTGTCTCTTTTAAAAGTCATTATGCCTGCAACTGGAGTCATTTCATCTGTATATGTATCTGTCTGAAACCCACCGCTCGATGCCTCTGTTCACGTTCCAATCTTTTTCTTACATATAGGGTGCGATATTGACCACCATGCTGGTGTCGCGCAATTTCTCTGGTAAGTTCACATCAAACTCTTTGCATATCTTGAAAGACAAATCGAAGATATGCTGAACTATTTGACTGCTTGAGTAGAGTAATCAAAACCACGAATCATTAAATGAATCAGACTTGTATTCTAAAAGCATCAACACAAACTCTTAACAGTGATAATTTAGTATTATTTATATACTATTAAAGTATTCATATTTTGAATTAGCATTTACTTTTATATTTTCCGTTTTAATTTTACATTTTAGTTTATATTTTAGTACTTTTTAATTTTAGTTTACAATGTAGTAATTTTGTGCTTTTGTCAGTTTAATTAAAAAAAATTTTTTTTTTTGTATTTCTATTTTTATTTCAGTTGTTATATTTAAGCTTTTTTTAATTTTAGTTATTTGACAAGGCATTTATTATTTTCATTTTCAAGTTGTTTAAGTTTAAGATTTTTTGTTTAATATTTAAGTTTTTTTTTTCAACTTTATTTCAATTACTGAAAACAATTTTTAATAGTTTTAGTTAACAACACTGTCTCAGAGTTCACCCAAAAATGACGATTTTGATAATTTGCTCACCTTCATGTCATACCAAACCAGTATAGTTCTTTTTCTTCCATATAATGATGCAATTTCCATAAAATGCAAGTGAATGGTGACTGATTACAAAACTTAATGCATACAAATCTTGACGCCAAACAATAGCTTTATGTGAGAGTAAAAGCTTTTCCTAACTCAAGCTATTATATGGATTCAAAAGACTTGGAATATAGTGCACAAGTCAAATGAACTGCTGTTATGGTGCTTTTATTGTATTGTTATTGGACCTTGACAGATGGTCACCATTCACTTTTGTAAAAAAGAGCAGCATCAACATTCTGCCTGACATCTTTTGTGTTTGATGATGGGAAAGAAAATCATACGGTTTGGAACAACATGAGGCTCAGCAAATGGTGACAGGGTTGTCATTTTTGGGTGAACTATCACTTTAAGTGATCTCAAAGTTAAATATTCATGCTATTAATAAATCCTGCTTCATGCTTTGAAGCATCAGACAAGAAATCTCACAGCTAAGGGAACCATATGTTATTTTCTTATCCGATTTCAAGAGCAGCTGGACGTTCAAAGTCGGTTCAAAGTGTCCTGACAGATTGATTCAGACACGAGCGGTTCTATAGGAAGTGCGTGATGTTTGTGAGCAGCGGGCCGCTTACGGCTTGTTTGGAGAGAAAGAGAATTCTGGATGTTTGCGACTGTGCCAAACACCACATGTGAGAACTGGCGTTTATAATAACATGATTTATTTCTGCTGTAATGAAGCATCTGCTCTCTCACATCCCAACACACACACACACACACACACATGCTCTCACTCGCTCGCACTTCAACAGCAGGCTGGTGGGCGGAAGCAACAGTGTTCCTGTTTGAGGAGCGTTTTAGATGCTCTCTCGCTCTCTCTTTTTCTCAAGCATCTGCTCTCTCACATCCCAACACACACACACACACACACATGCTCTCACTCGCTCGCACTTCAACAGCAGGCTGGTGGGCGGAAGCAACAGTGTTCCTGTTTGAGGAGCGTTTTAGATGCTCTCTCTCTCTTTCTTGCTCTCTCCATCCGTGGCTCGTCAGCCTCTCATTACTGTAATTACCTCATCCCGCAGGGTGACTCAGTGGTAGAGGAGGCGTGGGAGTCCGAGCGTCACTCCACACACTTGCCCTCATATGTCATTCCCTTCTTCTTTATTCGGCCTCTTTTTTTAAAAGGGACATTTTCTTTTTTCCTTTTGAAGTTCTGTTAGAATTTAAACAAGATTTATTGTACCTTAAACGGTAATTAAATTTTTCATGACTATTTAATACCCTTTTCAACAATGCCCCATCAAAGTTAAAGAACAGGCATTGACATTTAAAATTTCTTAATGTAATAATTTATATGTATTTATTTAGGTAATTTTGAAAGTGTCCTTTAAGGCGTGTTTGGATAGGGGGAAAAAATGTTAATTATCAAAAAAGGACACACTTCACTTGTCCGCCTTTGCTATTTCATGGTAGAAAACATCTAGTAAAGAAATTGACTATGATTAAAAAAAAATAAATACAAAATTTGGATTGCCTTTTTAAATAGAAATTATTTAAATTACATTATTTTTAGATATTTATTTACATCCTTTCATATTTTTAGATATTTTCTATAATTTTTATATTTGTATTTTATATTATAATACACAAAATATATTTTTATTTATTTATATAAAATAAAAATAAATATAGAAATATATTATAAAGATTTTATTTTATTTAATTTTTTGTTTTCTACTGTTACGCCCCGTCTAGGGTGAAGGCGCAACATGAAGGAGTATGAAGACACGGAGGAGTTTTGGAAAACGAATGAACAGTATTTTAATTAAACAATGATTTTACAGTACAAGAGGGGGAATTTTAGCTTCAGGAGCCGACAAGGCCAAAATAACAAACAGAAAACAACTAATATACAAACCTCTAAATTCCCTAGTTCACAAAATAAAATAAAAATAAAATACAATTACTTCCCTAACTTCCTATCCAAAAACAATCAACAAACAAGGTTCCAACAAAAATGGCGTCGGTCTCCCTACCTCCCCAGAATTCTATTATATACAATTATTTACAATGATAAGCGAACAGATCCGAACAAGGGCAATCCAGAATCATAGTAAAAAAACAGGCGGAAGTCAGTAGTAAGAATAAATGGGCAAAGCAAACTAACAAACAACAAACAATCTCTCACCAGCGAACACTCGATTGAACACACACAGAAATTCTCAGTCTTACGAACACATGTAACTAACTAGCAGAGTCAAGGCAGAGCAAACACAACAAGAGAGCACAAAAGCTGAAGCAGGAAGTGATGACGGAGTCTCTTATAGGCAGCAAGGAGTCAGCTGATCAGGCAGGGCGTGGCACCAATTAGACTGCAGGCACCAATCAGCTTCTTCCTGGACAGAAGACACACACAAACCCTTCCCAAACAAAAGAAAACACAGAAGTAGAACAAAAGGGACGTAACACTACTATGAAATTGCCAAGTCCTGTTATTAAGGCAGTTATAGTCAACAAATATTCCTTGGTACCTATTTTTTGTTAGATTAAAATACAGTTTTGAACTGTTTTGTTAGCATGTATCTTTAACTACACATTATATAAACATCCATTTAGTAAGATACTCCTGTGTTATTTTGGTAACCGCTCTGATGAATACAACTCGTTAGACTGATTCAAACCAATAACTCAATGAGCCATTTGTTTGTGAATCTGAGTATATTGTTTGTGCTGTATGTTTGTTTGAATAGAGTAAATGTGGGTGAATGTTTTTTCAGATTGACAATATTTTATTTATTTTTTTTCAGAAGAACAAGTAAATTCATGTATTCTACGATATAGCCCCTTTAATGTCTAATGAGAGCTTTTTTTCTGTTTGTCCTCTTTGTCACCTATTCGATCACTTTTTCCCCTCTGTATTTCTACTGCCTTCTCACAACGTCAAAACTCCAACCCCCAAATAAATGCTTTGCTCTGTTTTGCCGTAGCGTAGATTGGTGCTGGCGAAAGCGGCACGTTCCCCGCTGATAGGAGAGAGTGGCTCCCCGAGGAGAGCTTGACAAGAAAATTAGCCTTTTCTTTATTCCAGAGTGACAGCTGAAACCTTATTATATGATTACGCCACCTACTGTAATGGACTCTCAAAATCTCTCTCTGGTTGCAGACAGCGGCTTGTGTTTCCGGCTAACTCTCTCCACGCTAACAGACTGCTTTATCCTTTGGTTTCTCTCTCAAGGTCTACAGCAGTGGTTCTCAACTGGTGGGGCCGAAACCTAAAATTGAATCTAATGTAAAAGGCCGTGTGTTTGCGGTATTTTGGTGTAAATTCATGTCACTTGATAGAAGTTAAAATTAGACAGGTTGACAAATTAGTCAACATGAACAGGTTGCGTATCACCTGCTCTGAGTTTCAGAGTACGTTTAGAGTTGACAAAAACAACCAAATCCAACCCAGTTTAGTTTAGCAGGTTCACCAAAAACATTCTTTGGCAACTCGGGTTAATTTAGAGTTCATGATTAACTCTAGAGCTTGTGCACCTGAAAGTGTGACATCGGCGGCGGACAGCCAATCACACGAAATGTGGAGAGCCTCAGTTTTATTCATTTCTCATGAGAGAGTCAGCACAATTCATTTCCCTGCTAAAGAATGAAAGAGATCATTGAAAAATATAATAAATTTAAACACATTTAGAAGGCAGGGAAAAACATCACAGCTGCCAAAAACTATGAGAAGGCAGCTGAAAGAAAATATCTGACTATATTAATGCAGGTGAATCAACTGAATTTAAGTAACCATTTATATAGGTTCACAAAGAGCTTAAAAGAAAACAAGTAAAATTGTATATATATTCTAAAACCTGTATTTATATGTACAGTGGGTACGGAAAGTATTCAGACCCCCTTCAATTTTTCACGTATTTATATTTATTTAAATTAAAAGTTGAATGTTGAAATATAATTGCTTATGTGTAATGCATTAAGGATATAATATAAAATAAATATAACAAATATGAATCTTTGGATAAAAACATCCATGTTTCAATCTGATTCATATGCATCAGCAGGATTTGTAATCGATGCATCGAGAAATCAAGTGGCGGAGTCTCTCTGCAAGTGCACTGCACTCACGATGAAATGGATACATAAACTAATTAATAAATATTACCGTTTTAGCATTATTAAAAATACATACTGAGTGACTGATACAGTCTTTGCTTGTTTATTTAAATTGAGTTCACAGGTTTAATGTTCTTTAATTTATTGTCAAGATCTAAATTAGCATTGTTGCTTCTAGTATGGCTTTAAAGATCATGCAAAATGATATTCAATATCACACTTTTAATATTAAATAAAGCACATAATCAGTAACTGAGATAATCCTTGTCATAGTTTGTATGCTGTTGTTCCAGCGGCTGGTTAGGACAAAAACTCTGATTAACATGGAAAAGATGCCTTTTATCGTGAATCGCGGTGTAATGTCGTATCTGGTTAGGACACGGTGTGAAACCGGCTTCATGAAATAGGCCATAGATGCTTTCAGGACATTTTTGTGCACTAAACAATTTTGATACTGTTTCTCAAAACCAGTTGAGAACCAGTAGTCTATGGCACGATGGGCATATGTGTGTCTGTGTGTGTCTGGCAGTGGGCAGGCAGACCACGGCACCCGCCTCCGTCTCTGCGGCCGCCGCTGCAGCCGGTACCACCACCAGTCTGGTGGAACAAGGTAGCCCTCGTCCCCTCACCTCTCATCCATCCATCCATCCTCTCTGCTTCATGTTCTCCTTCTCGTGATTCATATTCAGCATGGAGCTTGGGGCATGACACGGTTACAGCGGTCTCGTGTTCAGCACTGCAGACGCCGCTGGCTGACTTTGGGAATGGCCGTTAGATCTCTCTTTCTTCTTTTTTTCTAGCTCTCTTTTTCCTCTCCATCTCTCTCTATTTTTTCATAAAGCCCCGTTCACACTGGCTGTGATATGCATCGCTGCAGGTCACCTTGTGTAGCTGTATTGTTGATTGTAGAGTCGTTCGTACTGCCTTGGGCTGTGTAACCAGCCATAGTTTGTTAATATCTGATCATAAAGGGATCAGATTGGTTTTCTTGCAGCTGAAAATTTGAATTCTGGATAGGAAAGTGTTGTAATTGCAGCAATGCATAATGCATCAAATCAATAATTAATTAATGCATGAAACAAACTGATTTAAAATGCACAGTTTTTTGACACTTTGTATTAGATTAGCTGTGCATGAGTTCAATTTCTAGGGAACGGGTCAATTGATAAAATATATACCTTGGATATATGCTACCATATTCTTAATAATATTTTAATCGTTTTATTCATCTAGGATGCATTAAATTGATCAAAAGTAAATACATTTATAATGTTACAAAATATTTCTTTCAGATAAATGCTGTTCTTTTGAACTTAATATTCATCAAAGAACCCTGGAAAAGAAATGTATCACGGTTTCCACAAAAATATGAAGCAGCACAACTGTTTTCAACGTTGTTTATAATATGAAATGTTTCTTGAGCAACAAATCAGCATATTAGAATGATTTCTGAAGGATCATGTGACACTGAAGACTGGAGTAATGATGCTGAAAATTCAGCTTTGCATCACAGAAATAAATTACATTTTACAATATATTCAAACAGAAACCAGTTATTTTAAATTGTAAAAAGTATTTCACAGTATTACTGTATCATAAATGATGGAATTACTCACTTCTATTGGTAGTTGCTACTCTTATTTGCATTAAGTAAAAATATTTTTTTCATCACTAAACATGGCCAGATCACATCGCAGGTAGTTTCTACTGAAATCGGCAGATTTGAATGAAAATGAATGACTTCTTGTCATTTTGTTGCTGCAAATCATGATCAGTGTGAAAACACCCCACAAAATCATCTCTCCCCTGCTGGAAAAAACAGGTCATATCAGTTTAAGTCACTCAAGCTGGGGGTTTGCGATTGTGGTCACTGGCATGTTGCCAGTCTAAAGCGGTTTCCAATTCTAACCAGCTTGACCATAATCATCTACCAGATCAAAACCAGGCCCCACCAAACATATAGACAAGCAGATGTTATTTAATGTCAAGCTTAGGCCAATATAGTCTCTCTATGTTGATTATCTGCAGGTCTAGTGTTATTTAAGCTGAACTTTCATAGTTTCTGGTCTCACGTGCATATGAATAGAAGTGAATGGAGCACAAAGTCTAGTGTGACTGCAGATTTAGATAGTTCATTTTGTTGTAATGTGATGTTTATGTGCAGGTAAATCTAAAATCGATGCTTCCTGAACATAAATAGCGTAGCAGACGACCCAAAAGATTCAAAGTGCCGATATCAGCAGCTGCTTTTAGTTGGATTTTCCAACAGGGTCCCTTTATTCTCTCTCTCTCTCTCTCTCTCTCTCTCTCCTTCTAGCTCTTCTTCTTCTTTCTATTTGCACTCACTTTCTCTCTCCTCTACATCTCCGCTTGCTCCATCCATCCATCCATCCTTCAGTGTTCTGTCTCTTTCTTCTCCCCCTGGGTTTCTTTTGTGTGTCAGATCTCTTGATTGTAGGTTTCTCTCTCTTTCTCTTGCCTGCCTCCTGATGACTGAACATTGCACGAGAGCACACGCATGTCTCCTGATGCAGGAGAAGCCTGATGTGATCCGATACGAGTGCATGTGTTTTAAATCTGTGTGTTCAGGAAAGGGGGTTCAATGTCCTTTCAGCACTAAATTCCAGGATTGTTTGCAGTGATCTGGCACTTTTACTCTTGGCTGATTCCAGCATCCATGCAGCAGGTTTTCAGTGACGATTAAAGGAATATTATTAGCATATTTAATGTCTGTAGACTCTTGTTGATTTCCACAGATTATTTTCTAGGTAGTCCATTCAAAAATGAAATTCTGTCATCCTTTACTCACTCCCATGTTGTTCCAAAACTGTGTGACTCTTTCTTCTGTGGAACATAAAAGATGTATGTAACCAAACGGTTTTGGGTCCCATTGACTTCCGTATTATTTTTTTATTTTTATTTTTTTTTAAATAAATATATAAATATATGACACTGCTCCATGTGCCTGGAAGAGTTTCACAAAGTCCCAACAGAGGATGAGAGTCCAGTTTACAGTTCCATGGTACTCCGTATACCCGCATTGCACTTCTCAACCTTAGATACAAAAAATCTGAATGACCAGGGACTTCCGTAGTATTTTTTTGTCCATTCACTGGAAGTCAAACAGTTTCAGGTCCAATTGACTTCCATAGTATTTTTTGTCCATACAATGAAAGTCAATGGGACCTGAAACTGTTTTGGGTTGAAACCAGTTACCAACATTCTTCAAAATATCGTCTTTTGTGTTGTACAGAACAAAGAAATGCATACAGGTTTGGAACAACATAAGTGTGAGTAAATGATGACAGAATATTCATTTTTGGGTGAACTATACCTTTATATTTCTGTAACCACATTTTGCAACCATTTATTCACATTGAGGGTAAACTTTTTTGGAAGTAAAATCAACAGCATGCTTCAAATACGAGCAATGGACATTGCAATAAATATAGCCTCCAATGTCCCTTAAGTGAGGCACTTTCATTTCAGTCCAAGACTAGTCTAGTCTATTTATACTTGTGTGAGATTTTGTTTGATAATCATTATAACACAGTTGCACGTTTTGAATTTAGTTTGGTTGGACAGCAATGCATCTGTAACACTTGTGACCTGGTTTACCCATAGTGCACTGCTTCACAATTTTAAATTAATTCCTAGCGGTCAGCATTTTTTATTTTGATCTGTTTTGTAGAATCTCTCCCCCATCCCCCCCCCCACAGATTTCCGTCTCTGCATTTCTCCTCCACATCTTTGCAGTGTTTTTGTGTGTGTCTCAGGTGTTTTAGGTGAATCAGGTTTGTTGCCACCTCGAGGTCACTACAATTGTGTCATGGAGGAAAGGGCTTGAAAATGGCACAAGATGACGATTTGAAAATAAAACCAAAGAGGGAATATAAACCTTTGTTATACATCAGTTAAGAGACACACATTTGAACCCCCTGCCCTCGTCCAGACAAACACACTCCAGATGAACCCGTGCTGATCTCTCTCTCTTAATCTATTCTTTCTTAATCTCTCCTTCTCTCCATTCTTCTCTGCCTCTAACATTTGTGTCAAGGTAAGATTCTCTCTCTTTTTCTCTCTTTCTCAACCCTGCCTCCACACAACACCTTCCCCTTATCTGCACGGATTAATAAAGTCGGGACTTTAGCACCGTAGAAACGCTAAGAATATTTCTTTCTGTGTTGTCATGGCAGAGAAGATTTAAAGTTCATATAGGATTTGCAGGCTTCATTTAATTTGATTTCATTTTAGTGATGAGAAGTTGTCTTAGACGGTTTTTATTCACTTTGACAAACATCATCATTCTCATTTGTGGCAAGAAATTTGCAGGTCCTTGCTCCCCCATGAACCAAATATTTGAACGTATCATGCTTTAACTGCAGTGTGCGTGTGTTTGTGGCTTTATTTAGCTGTACTTTAGGATAGAAGTTAACTAAATCTGACACAACCTGCCTTTGGGAGGTTACAAAAATTATTTATAAATAAAGTGAATAATATACACTACCGATAAAATGTAAGGGGTCAGTTGTTTTTTTTAATAAATGCATACTTTCTTTCAGCAAGGATGCATTAGATTAAATTAAAATAAACATTCTTGTAAATATTGTATTATATATTTTTATCTTATTTTGAGCATAAAGCTCAGGTAATTTTGCTAGGTCTATGCTTAAAAACAAAGGAAAGAAACAGAATTCTTTAACTAATGCAATTTGATTTTTAAGTAAATTTATTTGTTTTATGGATATTTACTAGTTATGAATTTGCGTTATATAAAAATAACAGAAGTCTGTGCTATCTTTATCATTGGAATAATTTTAAAATATTTGAAAATATATTTTCAAATAAAAGGCAATTATTTTAAACCGCAATAATCGTGTAAATGTTTTTTAATTCTAAAAATGGGGGGAGAAAGTTTATTTTAAGGACAGAATTAGGGTTTAGGTTTTACACTAGTTTTAAACTTAAAAAGTTTTGTCTTGATTTAAGGTTAAAAAAAATAAAACCTTAAACATTAACGTTAATAACTATACATGAATGCCTGTTTCCATATATATACATTTTTATCTTGTTTCAAGCATGTAATTTTGTTTGATTTATGCTTAAAAAAAAAACTAAGGAAAATCTAAATGATCTTAATATCTAATGCAATTTGGCTCTTCAAGTATAAATTGAACTTGTTTTATCGATATTTATTAGCTATTAATTTGCATCATATAAAAACAACAGAAGTCTGTGCTATATCTTTTTTTAGCTAAGTAACTGTGTGTGTGTGTGTGTGTTTGCACTTTTCTGCATGTGCACCAGCATTGCGTGTGCATGGCAGTCACTAACCCCTCACTCCTGGACGGGAAGTTTTGATTATATTTCGTGATTAATTCTACCAGGTTTCAGTGTGGGCCGCACCGTGCCTATGCTAAAGCGTGCCACGCTCCTGTGGTGATGCGTGTGCGGACATGCACTCCGCGTGTAGTGTTTTAGACGGCTGTAATCCTCTGGATGTGGGGCGGGAGGGATTTCCCCGGCTGGCTCGGACGATTATGTGACATGTTTGGCCGAGCACCATTAGCGCTCCGGTAATGTTGACTGTTGCTCCCATCCCAGCGTGCTGATGTTTGCGTTTCCTCTCTCCCCGTCTACAGCAGCCAAGAGCCTGCTCAACAAGAAGGCCGATGTCAAGGTAAGCCCCCGTTAATTCCTTTTTCTTCTTCCCTTTCTCATACCTTTTTCTCTTTCTGTTCACATTCGCCAAGCACAGTTTCCGATAGAGGAGGGATTCCTGAACATGTCTTGTCCTTTAATTGTTGAAAGTTCTGGCATCCACTCTGTGTCTGATCTGAAGCAGATCTGTGTGTTTGCAGTGTTTGTCTCCATGTTCTGTCCTTTCTAGCAGTGTGTGTTTGTGTCTATTCTGTGAGATTAGATTCATTGGTTCTTCACTAAGTAAGCTGGACAGTGAGCTGGTGGTGGGCGGTATAGTAATCTTATTTCATAATATGAATAATATTATATTACGGTCACAATGTATATCACAATAATAGCCATTTTTTCCCAAATCCAATCCAAAAATGTTTTATGTATTATATAACAACATACTAATACCTCTTTTTGGATTATTCAGTGAATAAAATGGTTTACAAGGAATCTAATTTAGTTTTTTGCAACTCAATGAATGGAGTTTTTTTAAAAGATTATGAAACAGTTTAAACCAGTATTACATATAAATATGATTGGATGAGCCATACATGGTGTAAAATAACCTTTATAGGAACAACTGTGACTATTTGTGATGCTGCAACCAGTGTTATTTTAGTATAATTTATAGGCTATCATTGCATTTATAAATGTTGAATTAGATTTTATATTTATTTTTATTTATAAGCTATCATAGTATTTATTTATTTGTATTTTTTATATAATTTTTATATTTTAGTTTGAATTTTAGTAATTTTATGTGCTTTTGTCATTCATATTTGTTTTTGTGTTTCTAGATATTAATATTTAGCTTTTTTTGTTTTAGTTTTATACATTTTAGTACTTTGACTAACTTAATTTATTTTTTATATCTAATTTTCATTTAATAGTTTTTTATGTTTCTGTTACGTTTAGTTTATTTTTTTGTTTTAGTTTTAGAAATTTACAATTATAATTATTTAATTCATTTCTCATTTTAATTCAATATTACTTTTTCTTTAAAAAATATTTCTGTTTAGTTCTAGTGTATTTTTTATTTCAGTTTAAGTTTTAGTAATTTTAGTACTTCAGCTTTTTCAGTTAGTTGCCAAGGCATTTTGAAAAAAAATTTCAAATTCAAGCTTGGAACACCAAAAACTCTGGTTGCAACCTACAATTACACACGTCAGATTTTTTAAAAATCGCACCACAGTTTAGCAAAATCTTTACTAGTTGACCCATTCCTGCCGTCACTGCATCATACCGCCCAGCCCTAGTATAAGCGTGTGCGCTCAACCTTGATCTTTCTTTAATTTCTGATCTGCATCTTATCTCATTATTATCTCTGAGCATTCCGGCGCTCGGTTCGGCCCGGCGTGCGTCACGCGGCATCAGGTGAACGCGCACAGACGTTGACCTCCGACCCGTAATGAGCTGTTAGAGAGAGTGCACTTGCAGGTTCATTTGTTCTGATACATATAATCCTCTCAGACAGAGTAAAAAGGTCGGCTTTCACCTCTGTTGCACCGCAGAATTAGAAATGAAACTGTTGACTGCTCTCTATTAGGGATTGGATATGGAGTCTAATCTAGAGAATAATTCCCTCCACTCTGAGTATTAATCATACGTTACGTAATCTTTTAGCATGCATGTTTTTATGAGGTCGACGCTAAAAAGCACTCCAAGGAAAATCCTGCGACTCTGTCCTGCGCTGATGCCGCCACAGTGACAGCTTTTGTACCTTTATTTCTGAGAGTGTAGAAGGATCTCGCTTCACAGCCTCTTCAGATTTCTTTCTTTTTCTAACCGTCAATTTTTGTTTTTAGGTGCACTGTCTCTTTAAATTGGATGTTAGGAATAAACACGTTATATGTAGAGTAGAAGTTTTAGTGCTTTTGTACCGTCATAGAAAGATTAAAAAATCTGATATGATATGCTTCCAGTATTGAATTGCACAAAAACACCAATATTGGTATATACACTACCTTTCAAAAGTTTGGGGCCGGTAAGATGTTTAATGTTTTTGAAAAACATCTCCTATGACTCACCAAACCTGCGTTTATTTAATCAAAAGTACAGTGTTATTTAAGTATGATTGAGATACTATTATAGTTTTTATTAATATTTTGAATCATTTTTGTTTTCCGTTTTTATTTTAGTTAAAATTTTAGTAATTTTCTTGTGTTTTTGTAATTTTTAGTAGTTTGTATGTATATATATATATATATCTTTCCGTACCCACTGTATATATATATATATATATATATATAGGCCTATGCATACATACATATAACTTTTTTTATTAATAATTGTTTTTCCAGTTTTATTTATTTTAGTACATCAATTTAAACTGAATTCAAATTTGAAATGTTGGCCACTAGCTGAAATAATAAAAAATAGCTAAAAAATATTTTGTAACATTATAAATGCATTTACTGTCACTTTTGATCAGTTTAATGCATTTCTGCTGATGTATTTCTTAAAAAAAAAAAATAAAAAATCTTACTGACCCCAGAGTTTTGAACAGTGTAGTGACCAAGCGGCAACCTCCCGCTCTCTCTGGTGAACCCACGGAAGTGACTTAAACTGTAATTCATCAACTGGCTGCTAGAGGCTGGCTACAAAAGGGAGTCAATCCCATAGACTCCCCATGTTAAAATGCCCAACTTTACAGCAGAAAAAAACATGTTTACAGCCTGGTTCAAAAAATGATTTTGGTCTATATAGCTAATTTTACCCTTCATGACAACTGTGAGGGGGGTGAATTTTTTTATAACTCATCCGTTTAAATTATATTAAGCCTTAAAGTTCTGCATAATTAAGGGCGTGGCCACTTGAGTGACAGGTGGATTGCCACTGCTGTCAACACCGTCGAGCTAGGTGGGCGTGGTTTCAGCAACCAGCTCCCGCCTCTTTGCCCATTTTCGATTATCTGGGAGTGACGCGCTGCCAAAATGGCGACGGCCAGCTCCGCCTACTTTAGGCTTTAAAAACACTCTTCGGAAACCTACGGGTGATGTCACGGACACTACGTCCATGTTTTTATACAGTCTATGGTAGTGACCCATATGCATTCATATTGTATTTTCTCTCCGTATCTGACTGCAGTTGAGTCTGCCCACATCAGCATTTCAGTCAGACTATGTTCTCTTCCTCAGCTGAGTTCACTTCTTGTTAGCCGCCGAGAGGATCTCCTCCACAAGTTCACTCAAAACTGCACCTGCGGTGGGAATCGTTAATTTTTTCTGGCACTCTCATTAGCCACTCAGGCAGGTGTGATCTTTCATCGGCCGTTTGATTGTCAGCCGCACTAATGAGGCACTTTTTTGTCTCTCGTCGCCAATCATTCCATGATTCCTCCACCCACGCTTCGCTTCGGATCCACTATATCCATCCCGATCCAGAGTGTGAGTGTTCGCGAGAGCAGCGGCGGGAGAGAATGTAGCTCTCACTCCAGGAATAGCTGGCGGTTTGAACCCAGGGAGCCGGGAGACAGAAATAGACGCTTCCACTGCGCCTCACTCATTGCTTAGCAACTGGCTCGCCACACTCCTTCATTCTGACATTTCCCTCTTTTTTCTACTCTCCAATATTCTCACTGTCCTGCCTTTTGTGCTGCAGTGCGATGAAGAGCATCACGGCAGGAGGAATTGTGAGGGGACGCGTGGATGAGCGTGATTTAACTCTAGTAGACACTCACAAACACAAGCTCAGGGGGAAAGAAACAACAGATGAATAAAGGGACAGGAAGTAGAATTGGAATGACAGGAAGAGGAGTATACTGAATTGTAATTTAAAGAAATGAAACTAATCTATCTGTCTGTCCGTCCGTCCACCCACCAACCAACCAAACATTTTATCTGTCTGTTGTTCTATCTATCATTGTATCTGTTGATTTATTGATCTATCTCTTGATCTTTCATTCAATCATTCTATTGTTCTATCGCTTTGTCTGTCATTCTATCTAACGTTTGTTTGTTCTGTCGTTCTTCCTGTGTTTATTCATTCGGTTATTCGTTCTGTCGTTCTTTCCGTCTGTCTGTCTATCTGTCTATCTATCTATATATAGCTTGATTAGACATTAGACAAAACCTAAACTTTTTTCTTCCTCTGAAAGTAATTTCATAACTGTAGAGATACAGGAACAGTCCTGTCAACACCTGCACTGACTCAATCCCATCAGCAGCTCTGTGAGTGTGTGTGTGTTTACAATAATGTATTAAGATATCTGAGAAGAGAAGGACTTAAGGACTGTTCTGTACATTAAACCACATCAAGACTCTTTTATCCACCAGACAAACTCACTTTCTTGCCAAAAACCCACACGCGCACCTTCTCTCAACCCTCCTGCCTCTCATGCATCTGTGCCATTCTGTGTTTAATGTTCATCTCAGCCTTCATCATAACATGTATTTTAACTCTCTCATTCCATCCCTCCATCACCCCCTTTCCACCAAGAAACGGAAATCCAGCTCCACCGTTCAGTACATGGTGAGAATGATGTTTAATCCTAATCTCTTTATCCCTCCATCCCTTTCTCATCGCACTCTTGTTTATCCATTCATTCATTTGCTCATCCTGTTGGGCTTTTATGTCATTTAATGCACAATGTCGAATAAATCTACTCTTCCTCTGTAATGATCGATATTGATTCTTCTCTTGCTCAAATGTCAAGCGGTTGGTTTAAAGGGTCAGATGGCACTAAATGACTCCTCAGACACAGGTGAGGGTCGTAGTGTTTTTGGATTGACGTTATTGTAGGGTTGTAGCGAGTCAGTGTTGACTGTTGTTTTGTTTGTTTTAGACTGTGGTACAGAATGTCTTTTCGTTGTTGCTTCCTTGTGTCTGTCTGCTGTTGTGTGTGAATGTACTCAATGTAGATCCATAAGGACTCTCCTCTAGTTGTGCTTTCCTACTGCGACTTTCTCTAAGAAAACAATTGACCAAGCACGGGTTGTCTGAACTGTTTGCTTACTTCTGTTTGCTTTTTTTATTTTGTTTCCTTTTATTCAGCCTGCTGGGATAAAAACATAGCATCTTAAGATGTAAAAGGTGTTTTTTGCTGGTCCAGGGTGATCTTCTAGCTTTAACCAGCTTTATCAACTCGGCCTACCAAGTCAACTTTATCCTAACCATCTGGATTTAGACTAGCTTGGACCACATAGAAACCATGTAAAACCAGCTATCAGACACTGGTTTTAACTGGATTTTCCAGCAGTGCAATGCAATAAATTGTAATTATTTCAAAAAACGTATTTTTAAAAGAGCGAAAAAAAAAAAGTTAAATTGGTTAAAAAAAGAAACACATTTATATCAATACTGTAATGCAGTTTTTGTACACCTTGGTAATTAATTTTTTTTTTACATCATATGTATAATTTTTACATACAATTTTTGATGATAATCTAATGATAATCACAATTTGAAAATTATGGTATGTACAAAAACATAAACTAAGTTTCATCTATCCTGTTGGTCTAGCGTTCCATCTATTGTTCTATCCGTTGTTCTATTATTAAAATTAATAATTAATGAATCAGTTACTTAACAATATTTATTATTAAATTAATATATAAATTATAAAAAAAATAATTTTGTTTATCTATCTGTTAGTCTATCGTTCCCTTTAATAATGAATGAATCTGTTACTTAATAATATTAATTATTCAATTAATAAATAAATTAATTTAAAAAATCATAAAATATTAAAACTGAAAACATCCAGATACATTATGGTAATCAGAAATTTTCGGGGATTTGTGCTAAGTTGTCATAAAATAATTGTCAAATAATTTGATTGCTCCCAACAATAAGCCTAATTTTCTTAAAATTTCTTGTTTTTCTTTGTAATTTTGAACTATTGTGTGTTCAGATGAAACACAGTCCTCTCTCACTGCCAAACACGTTATCACCTCCTGCTCTCTCTCTCTATTTCTCTCTTTTCTTGCCTTAAACACCCACTTGACACCCTTTAACACTGTTTTGTGTTCTGCACAGCCGCAGTCAAACAGTGCCAAAAACAGCATAGTCACCAGTCCCAAAGGAAACGTCCCTTCTCCTGCTCTGGTATTTACCTCCTTGTTCTTCTCTGTTCTCTCTCGCTCCATCTTCTCGTCTGACTCGTCTGTCACTTTGGCTTTCTTCTCCTGTCTCACACGTGTCTGTCTGTGTCAGCGTCTGGTGCGTCTCTGGCCACCTGTTGTAGACGCTGTGTCTGTCAGCGACTTGAATCCAAGCGCATCTTCATCTTTGTCATCGAAACAATGTCAATGTTAGGGTGGATGGTTTTTATAATCCAGATTTGAAGAATTTTGATGCTTTATGTTTTCACAAAGATGTGTGCTGAGTGTGTGCATGAACATTGTGTTTTTCATTGTTTGGATCAATGGCAGACCAACCAAACTTAGATGTTGGCTCTATGTGTTTCAACTATTTTTGAATCACATTATGACCGTTATAATGTTTCAGTAAATATATGTGTTTGTGTGTACGTCTCTGTGCATTTTTGCTTCTTTTTATATAATCTAATGCTGTAAAACCTGATGTACAGACATGATTTATTTTCATTATTTCTGTTATTGTAATTAATCAAGTGTGATGTAAACCAGTGCAATATCATCTAATAAAACCCAGATTTCTTATTGTTAGTTAAAATTTGTTTGAAATAACTATTCAGAACCTCACAATTACATTGTTTTATGATAGATACAGTGATCCAAAAAGCATTTGGCCACTTGAGTCACATTTACAATGTCATTGCATTAGATTGAAAAATAAATTGTATTACTTTGTTTAAATTTTGTATTATTTTGTTATTTTATTTTATTTTGAAGTTTAGTTTAGTTTAGTAACTTAATGCAGGGATTCCCAAACTATTTGTCAGCTGATCTAAAATATTTAGTTGATATCTACCCTGAGATTTTAAGTTAATATTTCTATGATTTAACAAAACTTTAAAAAGTTCACAGTTCTCTATCATCAGTTAATAATCACATGATGATTTTATGTCTTTTTTTAGTACATGTTTTGATTGTTTTATTTTTAGAATTATTTTAATTTTACATTTTTTTGTGATTTAATTGATTAGCTTTTCATAAACTCACAAAGTTTCCTTATGAATCCCAGTTTGGGAAACCCTGCCTGATCTAATACAATGATATTCAGACATATTTTTAAATGCAACTTAAGTGTTCAGCTGCATTTTTGGACCATTTTGGATGCTTCAGCTGCAGGTTTTCAATATTTTATATTGTTTAAAGGGCAGAACTTCTCTTGAGCTTAAAAAGTATTGTGTTAAAACACGTTGTGTTAACACATCGTTAGTAAGAACTATTTTGATATTCTGATAGAGATAATCACATTTTGTTTAGCACATTTCACAGTCCTTAAGCTTATTTTACCCTGAAACAATATCTTTGTGATTTCTATACATTTTGTTTTTAAATGAAAGCACTTAGTATTCAAAAGTTCTTTAAAAAGTTGGGATTAGATGCGTTCACATCTTTGGACTGGCTTCAGATGTTGGGCTTTGGCCTTTGGTTGTCCTCTGCTTTTAACCAGAGCGACTAATAACCTCCATCGACTTCCTCTTCCTCTCTCTCTCTCTCTCTCTCGCTCTGAGACTGCTCTCTCTCCATCTCTCGTCTTTTTTTACTAACACTTGTTTTATTCTTGCCATCTCTTCACCTCCATCTCATTTTGCTCCTGTTTTTTCCTCTCTATCTTGCTGTCTCCTCCTCTTCCTCTTCTCTCTCTTTCTCTTTAGGAGCCTCAGACCACTGTTATCCATAACCCAGTGGATGGGATCAAGGTACATCCTTCTGCACCTCCCTCCACATCCTCTTCTCTTTCATCCTCCACTTTTCTCTCCTCCTCTCTCTGCCTCTGTCATCTGCTGCCAGTCTCTTGATTCTGTGGTGCGAGCGAGGATGTTGTTTTGGGATTGTGAGTGAGCGTGTAGTCGCATTAGGATGGGAAAGTGTTCGAGTAAGTGTGTGGTGTTTGGTACAGTGTTCAGTGTTAATTGTTTCAGGTAAAACAATGACGCAGAATGTTCTTTTGACCCTTAGTTAGTCAATACACACATGGTTTTTAAGCAGAAATTAGTTGAACTTCAACATGAGAGCGTTTTACTTCAGTAATATGACATATTTGCAAAGTGAAACAGTTTAGTCAACAAGAATAAAATTGCACTAGTTTTCAAAGGTTTGGGGTTGGTAAGATTTATGTTTTTGAAAAAAGTCTCATGCTCATTAAAGCTGCAGTAAAAAAAAACAGTAAAAAAAATACAGTAAAAATAGTACAATTATGAAATATCATTACAATTTAAAATAACTCTTTTCTATTTCAATATATTTTAAAATATAAGTTATTTCTGTGAGGCAAAGCTGGATTTTTAGCATCATTACTCCAGTCTTCAGAAATCATTCTAATATTCTGATTTGCTTATTATTGTCAATTTTGAAAACAGTTGCAGTGCATGATATTTTTGTGGAAACTGACACTTTTTTTTTTTTCCTGACCCCAAACGTTTGAACAGTAGTGTAAACCAGGACTTTTATGCACTGAAAATTAACACTCCTCTAAGCTCCACCCCCCTCGGTTACTGTTGCTAACTTGATTGTGAGAAAAATGTGCTCATAAAGTGGTAAAAATTGTTTGGATATTGTTCTAATGTGGGTTGGAATGGTGTGACATTGCAAAGCATTTTATCTGCCACTTTTTTTTTGTAAGAAATTGTTAAATTATGCCATAACATTAAAAAACAAACAAACATATTTTGGGATCATTTTCATTAAATTGTGTTTGAAACTAACCATAGCTTGTCTGAAAAAAAAAAAAAAAAAAGATAAAAAATGTGTATCCTAAATGCAATGTAAGTTGCTTTGGATAAAAGCATCTGCCAAATGCATAAATGTAAATGTAGAAAATGGCACATGGCAACAGTTACTAAGGTAGGATTGGTCAGTAAGGCGGAGCTTAGCAACAAGTCAGTTGATTGGATCATGAAGTCTGCCAAAAAGGAAAGTTGTTTTAATTCCATCAGATAGTTAGATTTTATTATTATTATTATTATTATTATTACATGTTGACTTCAAGAGTGTGATTTAAGAGTCATTATTAATTAAAAAATATTATTTTGCTATTTAAATTGCTAAATAAAATAATTATATTAAACTAAGAGTTATTATAGTTTACTAAAACTAAAAATGAAACTAAAAAAAAAAACATTTTCATTACTTGAAATAAAATACACATTACCTGAAATAAAATAAAATATAAAAAACTATATATTTCAGCTAGTTGCCAAGGCAACACTTCTCATTTTAATTTAGTTTGACTTGATGTACCAAAATAACAATCACTAAAACTGAAAAAATCCTACTTAAAATGACAGAAACATGCAACAAAATGACTAAAACTAACTGAAATTAAAACTGTTTATTACATTTTTAAACAAATATTTCATACTGTTCATTTTCGTTTCTGCCTTATTAAAGACCACCATTTGAAATCATCCAATCAGGCTCTCTCATTTTTACCAAAAATGTTTCCTATCCTGCCTCCATAATGCTCCTCTCCCTCTCTGGCCGCCCGTCCCCATATGCATGGCCACAGCTGGCTGAAGTCTGACAGTCCGTTTGTCTGCAGCTCAGACCCTCAAGGTGCCTTAACTCGCCCACGGGAACCTGTAGAGAGAAATACAAGCAGACGGGGGCTCAGTCATTTGCATTTGTAATACGTCAGAAGCTAAATGTGAGCTATTAAATGCCTCTGTGTGTGTGTGGGTGGTTACATGCATATGCAGAGGAGAGGGTGCAGGCGGCTGCAGCTGCGTTCTCAATGCTGCCATCTGGGAAAGAGACGTGGAGATGCACAACACAGGAACTGGGTTTCATTGGATGGCTGTGTTATAGCCTCACCAGGTGGCTGAGCCTGAGATTAAACCTTTGCCCGCGACTGTCTACACTACTGTTGGCAGTGTCAGTCACTTGAAGTGGAATATGTATGACTTCATTTGTGGTGATGATTATCCCATCTGTCTCAGTGGTAGTACTGGTCGTGCTTTATTGGAGTTAGTCGCTGTTTGTTGAATACATTTTTTTTTTGGTGTGTGTGTGTGTGTTAGTGAAGGTGTGAGATCGGACAATGATTGCTTTTGTCTGTCTTGCAGGAATCTTCAGACAGCAGCAACACCACCATTGAGGATGAAGACGTCAAAGGTGAGCGGATTCTGTTTTTGTTGCATTTTTAAACAATATGATCTGTGGTGATTTTACCAAGGACTTTCCAGTTCTGAAGACATCACCAAGCCCTATAAGGACACTTTTCACAATCCAGTCAATTGCTGATGGATAAAATCAAGTGATTTTTTTTTTCTTCTACATCCTGTGTCACTCAGAAATACAGTATCGTTCAAAAGTTTAATGGCAGTACGATTTTTTTTTAAATAACTTAATATTTTTATTCATTGCATTAAATCGATCAAAAGTGACTGAAAAATAATGTATAATGTTACAAAAGATTTCAAATAAATGCTGTTCTTTTCAACTTTCTATTCACCAAAGAATCCTTAAAGAAAATGTATCATGGATTCCACAAACATATGAAGCAGCACAACTGTTTTCAACATTGATAAAAATCTGAAATGTTTCTTGAGCAGCAAATCAGCATATTAGAATGATTTCTGAAGGATCATGTGACACTGAAGACTGGAGTAATGATGCAGAAAATTCAGCTTTGATCACAGAAATAAATTACATTTTAAAATATAAAAATAGTTATTTTAAATTTTTAAATAATTTGACATTTTTGATCAAATAGATGCAGCCTTGGTGAGCATAAGAGACCTCTTTCAAAGACATTAAATGGGTCAAGAACTGAGAAATCAAAAATTCCTTGATCTTTTGACATTGTACTGTGAAAACATCCTGTAAGTTTCAGAACTCAAAACTTTCTTGTTAGTCTAAAAACAGCTTATATTGAAGAAAACAGGACAGAAAATAGCCTATTACGTCTAAATTATGTTTTTTGATGTAAAAATCTTGATAACATAATAATTGGACCTCAGGGAACAGTACAAAATAATAAAAATAGGCAGTTCATGACCCCTTTAAAAATCTTACCAACCCCAAACTTCTGAACAGTAGTGTTTATTGTGTAATGGAACTTGCTTTGCTTCATGTTGTAACTAAAACCCCATTAATCACTGTGTTACACAGCCTCACGTGGCTTATTGCTTTTTGAAAATAAAAACAATAGTAGTAATAAAAAAAACTAATTAAAAATAAATATATATATTTTTTATTGATATAATTAAAATTCAATTTATTTTTACATATAATTTTAAAGTACGGTATTTGCTGCAGTCACAGGTTTGCACACATTGCCTCGTCTTTGAACTTTGATCTATCAGTTTTTGAAGCCATGTACGAAAAATCTGAAGCATTTTATTGTACTGAAATGTAATTTGCGTGTGCTATTGTTGTGACATTCTTGTGGCCTTTTGACTTTCTTTGTAAGGTTCGTAAGAAGTGTTGGCTTAATTCTTGCGCTTTGGCATCCTGCTCTTCTGGGACGCACGTTTCAGGACACCTTCAGTGTATTTTTAACTTTAGGAACACTAGAAATGTGAGAGAAGTGGGCTAAGACTCTGCGTATGTGTGTTTTATTCACACGGGTAAATGTAGGTTTTTTCGTTGTGTGGAAGTGTCGTGCTCTGAAGTGACAGAAGTGGGCGGGATGATTTGCCACCCTTCCATGTAAATCTCTCAGCCTCAATAATAGGTTAAATAATGTGCCATGTTCCATCTTTGCATGTCCTCCTTTCTCATTCTCATCTTTCCAGTCTCTTCCCACCTTTTCCTTCCCACTCAATAGGGAAAAGCCTAGATAGCAGTTCAGTTAAAGCCCCCTCTGAAGTCAGCCAATCACCTCCGGGCTCCGTCCCCGCCATTTTCTGTAAGTCTGGTCTGCACGCGTTTGGTTTGGCCTGGCTGGTTTGCACGGCATTGATCAGCCCTAAATCCCTAAAAAAAATAACCAGCTTCCCTTGAGTTTTGCTCTTCTTGAGGTAACTTATAGATATGAAAATATGGGTTGATTTGGCTAATAACAGACAGTTTAGGGTCCAGTGTAATTTGCACAGTGCTGTCTCTAGTCTTTGTGCTTTATTAACCATTAGTGCTGTGGCGGTGTTATTAAAGCTTAAGGTTTCTAACAGGAAGACCACTGGAGTTCACAAGTTGCTCCAGGTTAACTTAAAGGTGCTGTATGTAATTTTTTGACTGAACTAAAGCATAAAAATAGCATATGTTTGCAGATACTACTGCAATACCCATTTCAAACGTGAGCTGTCAATATTACATACTGGATAGTTCACCCCAAAACGAAAATTCAGTCATTTGCTCACCCTCATGTCATTCCAAACCGTTATGACTTTCTTTCTTCTGTGGAAGACAAAGGATATTTTGAAGAATGTGGGTAACCACACAGTTTTTGTTCATTGTATGAACAAAAAATACAGTGGAAGTCAATGGGAACCAAAACTGTTTGGTTACCAGTATTCTTCAAAATATCTTATTTTGCGTTCAGCAGAAAAAACAACAACATGTGACTCAGAGAGTGACATGAGGGTGTGTAAATGATGACAGAATGTTTACTTTTGGGTGATCTTGCCCTTTAACCACTAATAAGTGTGGATAAAAGACTGCAGTATACCTTTAACTGAGAAGTCAATTCAAGTGCAGTGAAAGCATGGTTTTCCTGAAGCCTAGCAGGAAAGGGTTTTGATCACCGTGGGAATACCAATAGAGCACTTTCTCTTACTGATCAACTCCCTGCTGTTGTTGCGTGCGCTGCCCAGCTAGGGCTGTTAATGGAATGGCATGCACACATCACTTTGAGACGCATAAGTTTGGATGAATCTCTGTCATCTTGCTCCCGCCATCGGTCATCATTACCCCCCTCACCCTCATGTGTAAACAGCCACCAAGCTGACCGACATCCTGGGCTGCGCCCGTAGGGGCTCGGGACCCTCGGCAGTGCCTGATAGTGAAGCAGCTGCCCACTCCACACAATCCCCTCCACAGACCCCCATCATGCAGAGTGAGTATAGTGCCCCCTGCAGACTTAAGCACAGACGCTCATGCACAGGGGCCGTGAACATTTTTGGCTAGCACATTATGTCGTTTTATTGTTTTTGTCATTAAAGTAATTAGTTTTTGACAATTAATTATTTCAGTAATTGAATAATTAATAATAATATTAATGATCTGTTTTAATTTAATTATTTAAAATTTGTAAAAGTTTTATATTTTATATATTTTTTATTTTAAAGTGTTAAAGCAACTTAATTTAACAATAATAATATTAATAATATATTTTAATTGACTTTATTACTAATTTAATATTTAATTTTTAAATGTAAGTTTTAAATGAAGTAACTTAAAGGCACAATATGTAATTTTTTGCCACTAGAGGGCGCGTATTCAAAACAAACAAAGAAACAAAGGCATAGTTAGATGACGCCGTGACTGAGTGTGGAATCATGGGAGTTGTCGTCTTCATCCCCACAGCCGAAGCAATCCAACGGGACTCGGGCAGAAATCATGTTCATGGATGAGCGAATGTATTAAAGATTTATTAACGTCGTAGTATGAAGCAGGGTGAGGCTAAAAGCCGTCGAAGCAAAACGAGGCCGCTGAACGAGCGCAACACACGGCTCGAAAGCAGCGGAGCTTTTATTATGCCACAGTCGACCGCTTCCGCTCCTTCTGGAAAGCAGCGGAAGTAAGCAGCGCTGTTTTATCATACTAGATACATTTGAAAGTTCTGTTATAATGCTACTCTGTGCGGTCGTCACCTGTCTAATAAAATGCATAGCATATTAAAGCGTCTTTGGTGTTTCCATGTTTTCTACAAAACCGGAAATCGAGGGGTTATGACGTCATTGGCAGGCGACACAATGACACTATGGACACGGTCCGTGTCACTAGTTAAAATTGCTTATTTCTCTGGATTTAAACATTCTTCGAAACATTTGGGATAATGTAAGTACACAAGTCAGCAAAATATATAACACTGTTCTAGTGGTTTTTGGATATTTTAATAAAAAAATCTTACATATTGTGCCTTTAATTGAATAAGTTAATAATGTCCTGAAATACGTGTGGGTAACACTTTATTTTAAGGTGTCCTTGTTACACGTTACATGTACTTACTATTATAATCACAGTTATTTATGCATAATTACATGCAAGTAACCCTAAGCCAAACCCTAATCCTAACCCTAACCATAAGTACATGCACATGTTAAGTTACTTAAAGGCAGAGTAAGTGATTTCTGGTAACCAATGTTGATATTTGAAATCACCAAAACAAACACGCCCCTACCCCAAAAGGGTCTTGCCCCTATTTTGATAGCTCCGCCCCACATATACGTACGCAACCCAGGCAACTATTAGTTCTGTGAAGCAAAGCAAAACGAATGTTACACCGTGTCTACAGACGTGAGCAGTGCGGCGCAACAAATCCCCGACAGAAAACTGCTGCCGGAGTACTTAAATAGTACATAGTACTTAAATGCATAATTACACCGTAACAAGGACACCTTAAAATAAAGTGTAACCTACGTTTGTCATTAAAGTAATTACTTTGTAATATATATTCATTTGAATGATTTAATAATTAATAATTCAGTTTATTAAATTAAACAAATAATTAGCTAATTATTAATTAACAAATTAGCTTAATCATTTAGCATAATCATTTAGTTTCATATTTAATCATATTAACTATTCATTTATTAATGTAATATTAAATTCATGAAAGTATTAAACGGATCAATTTAATAATAAAGTAATTATTAAGCTGTGAGCGACAGTGCTTACTTTGCAATTTGGACAATGTATTATGCTGTTTACCAAGTTTCCAATAACAGGGGAGTTATTAAGATATAATGAGTAGTATTCAGCTAGTCATGGGATATATTAAGCTGTATGATATTAATATGTCAGGCCCCATGAGCCGACCCCCTCCATGTCTATTAAAACGGCTTTTTCTAGGCCACTGATAAAATTATAAAGTGAATGTACATGATGTACTGTTACGCATGTCCTTAGGTGTTTAACAGGTAAAACATGCACTTTTAATGTAGGACCCTGTTCATGTACCGTCTGTTGGCCCAAGTGTTGACCTTTGACCCTTGTTATTGATGCATATCCTGTTCAATCAGACACGACTGCCCCATGCATATTGTTATTTGTCTGATGTTGCTGCCTTTTCATCTCTTCACATGTTGTCCATCTCTCTGTCTCTTACGGTGGGTTAATGCATTCCTCCCTTTCCCAATCCACTCAGCCCAGTTCACAGATCTGGTGAGCAGTGTGGGGCGCGCACCTGTCCCGCAGCCTCAAACGGAGTCGCCTTCCTCTCGAACTTCTGTCCCCACTCCCCAAACCTCCTCCCCCCCAACCCTGCCCCCCTCTGTGTCTGTACAGAGTGAGTATATAGTGTGTGTGCTTTTAGCATAAGGTCAAGTCCACATTGCACTTTAATGACTTTAAAGGCCTTGATTCATTACAAAATAAAGTTCATCCACTCTTTCCTAATGTTGGGATCAGAAGGAAGGCAATGCACAACTTGGCACTGCACAGCGTCTAGTTTTCTTCAGAGCCATCTTAATCGTTTGGTTTCTGTGTAGACCTGCATTTTCCTCTTGCGTTATTTACCTACTACATATGCGAATCGGTGGGCGGAGCTTAACAGGCAGTGATGTAGAAGCAGGCGTTGAACTACTTCTGCGGAACTACTTTTTATTTCTCAGTTCATGACCCCTTTAATGGTAAGAATGAAAAAGAACAGTCTGCAGCTGAATTCCTATCAACCCTGTAACCAACATACGACATTCGGAAGTAGCAGGAGGCAGTTTTCCTGATAAAAATGCAGCATTTAAGCATCTGAAATAACATTTACAGAGTATGGTTTGTGACAGAACTGTGATGCACTTCCATACATATCCGCTTAGAGGAAGTGGGACGTTTATCAAAGCTGAAGCCACAGTCAGAGACTTTAGATCAGGCCTGCGGTGTCAGATTGACAAGGAGAAACTGAAGGACGTGTCGGGGCCACTAAGCTCCTCTAAAGTGGAGCAGGAAGCTGTGAAGGGAGGGAGAGAGAGAGAGAGAGAGAGAGAGAAAACGAGAAGTAAGCCGTATCTAAGGATCCAGGAATAGCTCAACTAGCTCCATGCAGTTAACAAGGAAAAGACAGAAGAAGATGAGGAGGAAAGTGGTGGAGATGTCGATTAGATGAAGGCAGAGTGTTTTTGGGCATCTGTGCATGTGTGAGCGTGCAAACTTCATCAGAAGAGAGAGAGTATTGAGGAGGAATGGATGAGGGTCTAGACTGAAGATCATGACTGAGAAACTAGGTAAGTCCACAGCAGAGCTGGTGTGTGTTAAACCTCTCTCAGCCTCTCAGGTCTGGAGTCAGGAGGACGTGACCTTTCTGACCTCTGCCTGTGTTTCAGAGCGTTAACTCTTGGTTTAGGTTGAAATTTGTCTGTTCATGTCATGTACAACTAAGAGGAACACTTAGCTTTGGCTCTATCAGTCTATAGTTTTAAAGAATCTATGAATGCACAATTGTCTTTCCTGTGCTGATGTATTTCCTGTAGAGACAGGAAGTTGGGGCGGAACATGCTGTACCGCTAAAAAGTTTGGGGTCAGTAAGATTTGAAAAGAAATTCGTCCTTTTATTCAGCAAGGATGCATTAAATGCATTGAACTTTCTATCCATCAAAGAATCCTGAAAAAAAATGTATCATGTTTCCACAAATATATGAAGCAGCACAACTTTTTTCAACATTGATAATCAGAAATGTTTCTTGAGCAGCAAATCAGCATATTAGAATGATTTCTGAAGGATCATGTGACAGTAAAGACTGGAGTAATGATGCAGAAAATTCAGCTTTGATCACAGCAATAAATTACATTTTAAAATGCATTAAAATAGAAAACAGTTATTTTAAATTGTAATATTTCACAAATGTTACAGTTTTACTGTATTTTTTATCAAATAAATGCAGCATAAGAGATTTATTAAAAAAAAAGGCTTACTGACACCTAACTAAGATTAATAAAGGCTATGAGATATTGTCCATTTTTATTTTATTTTTTAATTATTATTATTATGGTCCATTTTAAGCCACTAAGAGACACAAAAGTCACATTTTGATTTTATGGGGTCTTTAATTCACGTCTTTTAATGTAAAGATTAAAATATTCCAATATCTGAAGTCAAAAGTATTTACTTTTTTTTAATAATCATAATTTTGAGTGGGGAAAAAAAGATTAAACTAAGGTGGGACTACTTAGCATAAACTATATGTGTGTATTCACCTTTCTCTTACAGCACGCAAACAGGAAATCATTAAGATCACGGAGCAGCTGATAGAAGCCATCAATAATGGGGACTTTGACGCCTATGCGTATGTTACCTTATGCTTTCATGCAAACACAAACCACTTTGGCCCAAAACACACCATATTGTACAAATACAAGAATGCTATAGCAGCCATTAGTGTAAACTGTCTTCTTCTACAGTCAGTTCTACTGTCATGGCGGAGAAACAGTTTAGTTAGAGTAAGATGAAAATAGTTCAACTGTCCATGTTTATAGTAGCTACCTGAATAATAATACACAATGGGACCATTGTAACAGGAAAATCTGTGACCCTGGACTGACCTCCTTTGAACCCGAGGCTTTGGGGAACCTAGTTGAGGGAATGGACTTCCATAGATTCTACTTTGAGAACTGTAAGTGTGTTCAAGCAGAAAGACTACCATGGTTTAAATCATTAATGTGTGATATAAATCACAGGAAGTATCTGTAGCACCATGCACATGATCTTTCTCCATGTGTTTGTGTTTCTCCGCAGTGCTTTCTAAGAACAGCAAGCCCATCCACACCACCATCCTGAACCCTCACGTGCACCTGATTGGAGAAGAGGCCGCCTGCATCGCCTACATCCGTCTCACCCAGTTTGTGGATGGACAGGGCCGGCCACGCAGCAGCCAGTCGGAGGAGACCCGCGTGTGGCACCGTCGGGACTCCAAATGGCAGAACGTTCATTTCCACTGCTCTGGTGCACCGGCTGCCCCTCTCCAGTGAAGGTGACGCTTTGGAGTTGTCCATTTTCTGCAACTGTTTACTTTTGTTTTCACACTAGAGCTTTTGGTGTGGATTCAAATCTGTTTCACAGTAGAGTTTTGGTTGGTGTCAAGATGGATTCTGGGTTATTATAGTTAACTGAAATGAAAACCATAAAAACATTTTCATGATCTAAAATAAAATACACATTAACTGAAATAAAATCAAATATTAAAAACATAAACTTATTTTATCTCAGCTTATTGTCAAGGCAACATTTCTCATTTTCGTTTAGTTTAACTTGATGTATTAAAATAACTAAAACTGAAAAAAAACATTATGTAGACATATAAAAAAAGACCAAAAAACAACAAAACTAACTAAAATTCAAATAAAACAGAAAATATAAAATAAAAATTAATTCAAAATATTAATAAAAACTATAATAATATTTCAGTTATACTAAAATAACTGAAAATATTGGATAAAAGGTCTAATTCATATCATCATTGTGAAATTTTAACTAAATATGGGTTTTTAAGTTGGGAAAATATGATTAAATTTGCAGATATTTTACTTGTGTTCAAAATTTTGCATGGTTTGGCTCCGCTCCCACTTAATAAATTTATCAGGAAAAATTTGAATTCTTTTACTAGAGCCACTACTAGAGGGGACTGTATAATACCATATAGAAGAAGTACTTTTGGGCAATCAGTATTTTCTTATAGAGCAGTACATACTTGGAATACTATACCCATAGAATAAGAAATATTACATCTCTTGCTCCTTTTTCTGAATCGGTAAAAGGGTGGTTATTGGATAATCAAATATGTCTTCATAATTTGAAGTAGTGTTTCTTTTTTTTCTTTTTTTTGTACTCTGGTTTTTGTAATATGTTTGTTTCTGCTTTGTGTATTTGTGGATTATGGTTCTTACCATCAACCTGCCAGGGACTGCAGATGAAAATTAGCCTGAATGACTAAATCTGGCACATTTACATAGTAGACTTGTTTACTCATGTTAATTAATGTGTATTGTCCCTTTTAAATTAAATAAAAACAAACAAAAAACAAACAAACAAACAAATAACACATAAGAGCATAAAAAACTTTCAAAAAGAAAGTCTTTCAAAAATATTACTGTCCTCAAACTTTTGAACAGTATTATATTTTTATACAACAAATTCCTTGTTTAAGGTCATTTATATTAATTTAAAATAAATTATTCAAATAAATTCATATTATGGCTCGTTTCCACTGAGCGGTACGGTTTGGTACTGTACAGTACGGAAGTTGTGAATGGTACCAAAATAGCGAACCGTACCGTACCACTTTTTTGGTACCCTTCCGTTGGGGTACCTAGCACAGCAAAGGGTACCAAAAGGGTGGAGCTAAACTCGCCGCAGAACGTTGATTGGTTGACTAGAATCGTCACTTTTATGTGATACAAGGGGATAAAGCGTCTTTCACTCGTTCCGCTTTGCTGTCCATGAGTGTTGGGCTTATTTACATCAGAGTGCGCAAACACAAAAAAATATAACCGCGTATTTTATATTTTCACACAGACAATAGCCGTTTCTCAATATGCGTTCTTGTGGACTTGTGAAACTCATTGCCCAAAAACCCGCGTAATTTTCTAAATATTACTGTTGTTGTGTCATGAAATGTAGTTTTAAGGGTTTTTCAGGAGAGAATGTAATTGTTTAAAACTCAAATCTGCGGTTTATTTATAAAGATAGCGCCTATTTGAAAATTTGCTATGCCGATTTCGGAGCTCCAGGCGATCAGCGGGCGCTCAGTGCTCATGTATCCGCCGAGAGCAGCCTCAGCTGGGCTAGTCCTTCCGACATTTGCCATGAGATACATTGATACATAAATTGTATCTCATTTAACATGAGATACAATTCATTTTGGGTAGGCTATATTTAACAGGCATTCGTGGTCTCATGAATCTATTATTTATTCCTGGTCATATCGTTTTGGCTGAGCACAAAGTTATCCTTAATTTTATATATTTATTTTTAACTTTAACGTAGTACAGCGCTGACTTTGTAGCATACGTTTGACTAAACTGTTTGTTTTTGTCTTTATTTTCTCTTATATAAGCCTCTTATACTTTGTACTTATACTTTTATAATGGCTATTATTGTTCATTAAAACTGACATTTAACAAAAAGAGGCAGAGTTTTGCTTATTGTTGCGCTTTATCGTCGATCGCTACTTTCCGGCATACACCACGCCTATCAAGAAGGGTACTATTGGCAGTGGAAACGCAAGCCTGATCAGGGTTACCCGTACCGAATCGTACTGTACTGAACTATACTGTACCGTACCGCTCAGTGGAAACGAGCCATTAATTATATTATAATTGTTAATATAATTAATAAGCATTAATAAAAACATAAAATAATATTTAAATAGTTCTTTTAGTTTATTTTTTAATATATTTTTAAATCTATGTATATTTTATATATTTTTAGAACATTCACTCCAGTGTGAGCTGATTAAAAACAGCATTTCTGTGTTTTTGTATTTCAGAGTGGCCCTGCAACAGATACATTAGATGCGAGTGACAAGGAGGACTGATAGGTCCAGCGTCGGAGCGCTCCGAAACCTCCAGCCTTCCAACGCTGGACACAGCCGTCCTCCCCTGCATGCAAACCAACAGTTATCTCTCTACCTGCTGGGCTGCTCCAGAACCCCCCTCACCTCCGACTCCACCCAGCACGCTCCCGAACGTCCGACCGAACGTCTTTATGCCAAGACTAACTCCCGACGCAAGAGCAGCACTGCATATATTAATCATCGAGAGCAATCATAGACTCCAGGTTCCCGTCTAGAGTTATAATAACCCGCACGATTGCCTTTGCGCTCGTCTTCACTGGCCTTATGCCCCCTGTGCCCAGGTACTCCCAAATACAGTAGATCATGTTTTAATAAAAATATCATTATTATTATTGTATTTATTGTTATTGTTACTACTATTGATTATATATGATTATTACTTCCGTCAGGATTCTAAGTATTGCTGTTGTTCTTGAGATTGTATATTTGATGGTAAAATTACTGATGTTTTGTTTCAAAACATTTGATTTTTTCTCTCTTTTTTGTAAGCATGGATTTTAAGTATTTTTTTGGTGTTCAAATAATCTGAAGTCTATCTAAAAGCAGCTGCACTCACATGGTTTTAAGATTCAAAACTCGTGGCGAGCAGTTTTTCTGTCACCGTGATCAGTGTTTGTATTATCAGGTCACCAATCAGATCTCTTGGAGGCAGCTGACATCATCACATCATTGAGATTCGCCTCGTATATCTGCAGGTTGCCAAGTTGATTTTTTTCAAAAGGAGCTTTTTGTCTCTAAATCAGAGCATGATCTCATGTATTGGCCCTTGATGACCAGCAGCTGATGTGTCCTTCTTATTGACAATCAATGCTGATCTGGTTTTATGTGAGTTTTGGTGGTCTGTGAGACTAGGAATGTCTGTTGAAGCTAGTCTTCTTTGTCTCGAGGGATCTAGTAGGATGTTTCGAGAGAGTACAGTATGTTGTTTTTAAGGGCCTTTATTGTAAAGCAGCAGGATATTTACCGCTGTTCACTGGCCAAGTGTATTCAAGATTTAAATAGCCATTCTGGATCCCACGGTGATCAGAAACCTGCGAATTTTAACGTGTTTGTACCTTTGTCACAGGAACGTTGTGATTCACCTCGACTCAGGCACCTACAGTTATCATTCTTTGTTTTTCTTTTTTGTTCTGTACACACGGGAACTTTTTATATATAATTTATGTGGTGTAATTATGGCGGTATTGTTCTTAGTTTTTTTTTTTTTACGTGTGTGTGTGTGTGTGTGTGTGTGTGTGTGTGTGCACGTGTGTGGTTTTACAATACAATGGCACTGATATCCTGAATGTGAAAGCATAGTCACTATATTAAAGTGTTGAAAGCCATAATGCAGAGTGAGAATTTTTGGCGGATTTGCAAGGATGTTTTTGTTAGTGTAGTCTGTCAAGCAGAACTGGAAGACAGTCTTGTGTGGATTGACTTAGGGGGCTTCCTGACAACTGGTACTGTTCGTTTTTGACATCCTGTCAAAAGATTTCTGAAGTCACACAACCTTTGTTGAGGCTACTTGTTGTGTTTTATGTTGCTTTTAAAGGAATAGTTCCCCCAAAATGAAGATTTGCTGAAAATGTACTCACCCTCAGGTCATCCAAGATGTAGATGAGTTTCTTCATTGTAACAGATTTGGAGAAATGTAGCATTCCATCACTTGCTCACCAATGGATCCTCTGCAGTGAATGGGTGCCGTCAGAATGAGACTCCAAACAGCTGATAAAAACATCACAATAATCCACACCACTCCAGTCCATCAATTAACAAATCCATCAAGACGTTTTTAACTTCTACCCTTGTTTCCAGCAAAAATAGAGTCCTGAGGATGGACTTTTTCACTGGAGGAAGCATCATTATGGATTATGGACTCGCATTTTAGCCAGAAGCAATAGCTTAAAGTTAAAAGTTAAAATGTCTTGATGGATTTCTTTCTTACAAACGTGTTGCTGAACTGGAGAGGTGTGGATTACTTGTGGATTATTATGATGTTTTTATCAGCTGTTTGGACTCTAATTCTGACGGCACCCATTCACTGCAGAGGATCTATTGATGAGCAAGTGATGTAATGCCAAATTTCTCAAAATCTGTTCTGATGAAGAAACTCATCAACATCTTGGATGGCCTGAGCAAGAGACCATTTTCAACAAAATTTCATTTATAGGTGAACTATTCCTTTAATTTTAATCTGAAATGTGACTTATTTTTGTAGTTCACTTTAATGAGAGTTTCAAACTCTATGTAAATGGTGACAAATACAACATCCGCCGCAAACAGCAGTCCGCATGTCAACAAACTGGTGTTTCTTTCTTATGCGTTTAGTATTGCAGAAAATAAAACTGCTCAACAAATAGATATCTTGTAAAACTACCGCTGCATAATGTTAACTTTGTGGAAACAGTGGAAACTATTTGCATGAACTTCACAATAATACATTTTGGTGACTTTTTTTGTTTCATTCTGTTTATTTTATACTGAATGCTGGTGATTCTATCTATTTTCTGAGCTTTGTAAGTTATAACTATTTTTGTCTAAAGATGATGACTATCATGGTAAAACAGCTATTCTGATTGTACGGCATGCTTTTGTAAAGGCATTTATTGCTGTTTGAGCAGTGTTGGTTGAACCCACAGAAAATGTGAAATAATGAACAATGTGTTTATTAATGTGGGTCAATCGCAGTGTTTGCCGCTGTCACACTAGGTCACATTATGCATGTGATTTATTATGGAATGGATCGTGCTTTGGCTGCCAGTCTACAAAAGGGACCTCGAATTATGTCTGTGTTCGATGTAATTTAATCAACAACCTTCATTGTGCTTCGCTCAAATGCTGTCTAATCCTGTAGGTGGCGCTCTTTACCACACTGTTCTAGTTTGACAAAAATGCATAATGTTAAGATCTCCAAGAATTCACTCACTTTTCTGCTTAAACACAGAAACACAATCTTAATGCACTAACAAATTGTGTTAATGAAACCTAAATGTTTTTTTTAGATGTATATACACTTGAATAACCACCAAAATAGTGTTTAATCGGTTATCAACTGGATTCTTCTGCAAACACAATGACCTGTAGGTTGAAACAGTTGAAGTGATGAGTTAATCAGGCCACTAATGGGAAGCTGGTGTGTGTCTGAGTGTGTTACACATATGTGAAAGAGTGAATCAGTGTTGTGTTTCTCTAGTGGTGAAGCGTCGCTGCTCTTACAACATCAAGCCAATTGCTATTTAGTATTCACATTTTTTCCCAATGTCTTTTGTAATCTTTTTGCTTAAATCTGACGGCTGCACATTTTCTCTGAACATCAGCCTTCCAACTTTGCAAGGTTTTTTTTGTATATAAACTAAAACGGGATGATGTGGATTTTATTCAGTTGTGAAAAAATAATTCTTATGAAATCTTTGTTTCTCCTCATTCTTCTTACTGATATTCATATCTGTTCTTCCAATGTGCTCTCCCTCTTTTTCTCTCTATGTGTGCTATAGGAAATGTATTAAGATGTTATCAGTATTATTAATAAAAAGACTGTCACAACCCATGGTGTGGTTTTTATATCTGCTGTATACTAAACAAAATGCTCTTCTGCTGATGTGGAGATCTTGCTAACACATGTAGGGGGTTTATCTGAATGACCAGCTGCCTCTGAAAGCGGACAAGATATGAGAAAGCAGCATGTGAATTTATTTCACAGCTGTGTGTACTTTTGAGTCACTAAAAATGGTTTGTGTTCAGTGGAAACTGGTGTAAATGCATAGTACAGACAGTTCTTTGCACAGCCTGTCCAGTACTCTGGCCAGATGAATCAACAATGGCTGTTTACATGCTCATCGTGAAGGAGAAGTTATGGTTATTATTCTATGGTTATGCAGTCTTGTGCATACAAAATCTATCATCCTGTCTCAATAAACGGTTGTTATTGTATATGCTGTTATATAGTTTATAAACGTACACAAAGGCATATAAAATACTAAATATAAGGACAAAATAGATCTTTTCAAGAGGTAAAATAAAATCTGTCCTGAGCCATGATTCTTCCTGAAGTCTTCCAGAAACTGAAATATTAATCTTTAAGTTGTCTATATTTGTGTGTTTCTTTTAGGAACAAAATTGCAGAATAAGATGCACAAAAACCTTTCCGAAGTACTGTGGTGGTTACACGGTACAGTAATTACCATGGTACTTTAAAATTTACTATGGTAATGAATTCAGTTATTTATCAAATGTAATTTGGTTCGCAAAGAGCCAGCTCCTTCTTAAACATGTATGGTATTTTCCTAATAAAAATAAATGTTTGCATAATGTATTGCTCTTTACGTCAGTGGCGAGGCTACGGGGGTGGGCCCGGGTGAGCATGGGCCCACCCAATGAGAAGTTGGTAATTTTCCAAATGGATGTAAATTTATTAAACGATAATAATAATAAACGTCTTATTTCACTATAACTTTATATATTTGGTTTAAAAATATTAAACGCGAGTTTTCATGGTCAATTACAGGCAGTTTCTTCATTTTCCCTCTTCCTATAGGTGCATTATATACCATACGCTTGTCAAAAGGATGATTCGTCTTTCTCTTAGTAAGGACATAATAGAAAATACGCGCGTTTGTGGAGTTGAATTTGAAAATAGCGAAACAAATATCAATCAGATCAATTCTTTATAAAGTATATATTGAATATCCCAATTGAAACTAAGTCTTAGCACTGAATCCGAACCGTCTAACTTACAAATTAAGCCAGAGCACCTGCGGGTGATGGATTTATAGATCGGAAACGTCTGGCCTCGCCCATGCTTTACATACAAAACGTGCTGGAAAAGAGTGAATGCAACTCCTCGTGCCGAGGCTGACGTCATGCGCACTTGAAGCCGCTGCTCGCGCTGCCTAGAAACGACTAGCCGCCACGAGACTCATCTGCTCCTGATACCCAACTCTTTCTCTTTCATTTTTTGTTTCATGACATTAACCTGCGCTGTACAGAATCTCTCGCTCTAAGAGTAAGTATTTGAATCGCTTTTTATCTGTTTTCGCAGCGCTTTGTCTGTCAGCAACCCTGAAGAGAAAACTCTGTAATTAGACACATTTAAAGGTTTGTTTGTTGTTAGAGTTGTATAATGTGATATTTTTTCTCTTCCATTGAGACAATGGCAATTTAAACAGACGTTTTATGGTTTTATGGAGAGTTTTGTATTTGCTGGTGTTAGCTGAAGCTAGCCGGTGTGGACCGTTAAGTTACTCACGAGACCTTCGCTGCTGCTAAGAGATTATTAGGGGCCAAGCACCGAAGGTGCGGTGGCACCTATTGTATCCGTTAGCGTCATTTTTCTTCTTCCGCCGCAAGTCTATGGCAGCCCATAGAACCGCTTGCGGGAAAGTTGTGAAATTTGGCACACTGATAGAGGACAGTCTCAACATTAACCACAGCAAGTTTGGAGTCTCTAACTCCAACTCTCTAGCGCCACCACTTGTCCAAAGTTGCAATTTCTTTATGCTAATAACTTTTGAACTATAAGGCACAAAATTAAAATTCGTGTTTCCTCTGAATCGTTGGCTCATGCCGAGTCGAATGAACACCAAAATTCAAAAATCGCAAGGTTTAGTTTTTTAGCTATTTTTAATTGTTCGTAAAACCTACTTTTTCTTACTCGTCCTAGACGGTTTGTCTGATTCTCACCAAAATTGGCTCAGATCATCTTCAGACCATGCTGGCAAAAAGTTATGGAATTCAAGTTGATTTGTCCAACCGTTCTCGAATAACGCACGAAGGAATTCTACGAAGAGCACGTAAAAATGGATGTGAGGCTATATCTCTGCAATGGTTTGGCGTATTGAGACCAAACTTGGTGTGTGTTATAACAAGCATGACCTGACACTACCTGCAGTGTTTCGGCGCAGTGCCCCCTAGTGGTCAGGAGATATGAAAAATGCATATTTTTGCTTATAACATCTGAATGGTTTGGCCAAAAATAACAAAACTGGTTAGATTCGGTGCATCATGCCGAGTCGAACCATATCAAATT